AGTGATAGGCCATTCGGAAATAAACATTTTAGGGATGCCAGCAGTCCCAAAGACTTTTCTAAACTTTGTCTTTCAAAAAGCAGGCATAATTTCATTAGCTGTGTGCAACCTAGGTGTTTGAGATCAATATATACTGTCCTTGGCTAATACTGACTGGATGTGAGAAGTCCTTTTTCTAATGAGAAGATGGAAAGACAGAACAAAAAAATATGAAAGAATTCCTGCCTCTCACCTTTTCTGTTCCATCACTCTAGTAAAATTCAGTTCTGTTTGGCACTGCATGGAGAACATACATGGATATCTTATAGTTTCTTTGTGGACTGACAATTTTTTTTATAATAAGTGATAGAACTCAAAAGTTTGATTATTCATTATCATGGGATTTAAAAAATAAAGCTTACTTTATTCCTTAGAGGACATGTATTTTTCTAAAGATAAATTTATTGACTCAAGGTCTGATATCCTGGAGCTGCCTGAAGAAAATTATTTCCTCTATCACAGTTGCTCACTATGTCTCTAAAAATGGAACTGAGTGAGACTTTGTTCTAATGTTCTTCATCTTTTAACGTATATGCTGGTGACTTTTACAACACACAATAGCGATCTTATTGCTGGTAGAAATGGAAGCCAGTAAGAGCAGGTCAGGTGCTATTCTATATGGTATTATACAGTAAAATGTTTTTATTAACAGTATTGTTGAAAAAAAGCAAAATTTTACATTATATCAGGTTTGAAAACAACATTTCATGCAAATGTCTGCTTCTTGTCTATGTAAGTATATGTCTACTTCAGCAAAAAGGAAAAAGTTTGCTTTTATCTCTGTACTAAAGAGAAGTCAGTTGGAGGGTTTTTTTCACTCCATAGAGCACAAGAAATTGAAAAATGTATTTGCAGTCCATCTGTACAACTTTTTTCTGTCCACTAGTGAGATGTCTCTCTACGTCTGAAATTCAGCAATGTTTTAGTCTGGACAAATTTGACTGAACTCTGCAAACCATCAAGTTAGATTAACTTAAAGAATTGCAAACAGCATTTACCCTTTTATTTCATTTAACCTAAATTGATTAAGCAGTGAAATTAAACTTTATACATTTGTGCTATTTTTTTGATGGACATCATGTCTGAGGACCTCAGTCAGTCTCACTTTATGTAAGTTTTTCACACTGCTAAAGGGGAGGAAACAATTCTTAAAGGAAGTGTAGATGTGAAACTCTAACAAAGGAACACCTGCATATATAAACTCTTGTGCGCTGGCACTAATTATCACACTTGGTAGATCTCATGGTCATGTTCTGCTTTAAGATAATTCTGTGTTCATAACTTTACATACTTCCTATTGTTCCAGTGATGTCTTTCGTTCTGTTACTTCATAGTCTCTATTCTTTGAATGCTGTTGTGTTTGGCAAAAAGAAAAGGCAAAAATGCAAATGCACACCCCTCCACCCCCAGTTCTGGAAAGTCCATACTGATAAATGTAGATTTTCTCCGTTGTATATCAAGTTGCAGTTCTTTAATAGTGATACTGCATTTTCTGGCAAAGTGAAGGCAGCCTTACAGGACTGCTTTGGCTGTGTCCTCTGGAAAGCTGTTCCATTTATGGTATGTGATTACATTTTTACAAATTGAATGGAATAAATATTTACCGCTGCAATGGAAGTTTTACATATGTACACTAGGCATTGAATAAATAAAAAGCTTTGAGTATGTAACATGTAAATACTGATGCATCTTCTCCTTCCAAAGTGTCTTTGTATATTCCACCTGGGAGATGTGGTTCAAAAATATTCCCTTAAGTGCTAAGGTGCCGATGTCTTCACAAAATGTCTTTCACAAAAAAGCTTGTTTGAATGCCCTTGTGGGTTAGATGACTCAACTGTTGTCTTCACAACAGAATTCCTAAGGTCTGTAGTAAAACAAACAGAATGCAAATAACTTTTGTTTAAACAGTGCTCCAGATGAGTACAAGACCAATTTATGCTTTCTCTTGTATTTGTGAATGATGATCTTTAATACAGTGTTCTTCAACAAAGAATGTAGTAATTCTGTTTATGATTTCTTGTTACATTAGAGTAGCCTGAATGGTCTGGTTTTGATTACTAATTTTCAAGTCCTGGGGCTCTGGCATAGACTTACTGAGTTGCTTTTAAATCCTGCTTAACTTTCAACTTTCCTGTCTTTGAATTATTGTCGTGTTGAAGACTCAATAGGCTAAAACTTCACTGTGCTGTACATCAAGAAACACAGAGGTTAGGGAGAGAGCTACTATTATTTGAAATAGAAAAAAACAATTAATTCCAAGGAATGATAACATTTTTGTGTGTATGTTAAAACTTAACCTTTTCTTGTATTTCCTGTAAGAAAGAATAGGAATGAATTAATGTAAAATTGCAGTGAGCACTTGGTTGTTGCCTAGTGTATTAAAGAGAAAAATTGCTTGCATTTTGGGGGGATTCGGTATTTCCTTACTGATGGTTAGTTAAGAAGAATGTTCTTTCTCTTGTGGGCCTTAATTGTGTTTTGCAGTGACTTTGCAATCGACCTAGTACCTGGGAAGAATTCCAGTTGTATTTGATGGTATTTAAAAGCAAGGTAGAAGACAGAAATAATGATAAACGGTCAGAATTCTTCTAAACTTTCAGATTCCATTGTCTTTACTAGATTCTCAGGAAATGGAGAGAGCTTAGAGACAGAGATTCTGCTTTTCCTTAGTATGCACATCATTATTATCACTGTGTTAGTTTGAGCTGAGCAAGTCTTCTCCCTAGGAAACTTGAAGTGTGTATTGAACCTTACAGTTGTTCAGTGCTTTATGCTGTTGAGTGTTTTTGTTGCGAAGTCAAGGCTTAAAATACAGCTATACTAACATGTACGTTTCCTGCACATCCATATCCTTTTTCTAATCTCTTTACGCTGCCTGAAGGAGTGATGAGCGCTGCTGCTACTAGCTGGCTGAGGATTTCTGTATTGCAGGTGTAGCTGAATACTGCTGTAACGCTGCCTCTGTCTGGCTTTTCATGTGTCCTGGTGCAGAGGAAAAGGACAGGTGTCACGATTGCAGCTTCTAGCCTGCACAGTGTGTTCTGGAATTCAGATAATTCCCTGAGCGTGGGTTGTGAGGGACATGCTGGTTTATCTCACCCTTTTCAATAAGGCTCACCTAAGTGTGATGAGTTATAAATGTAGATACAAATAGTAAAAAAACTCCATGAACAGAGGAAATAATGAACTGTCCAACTGTCTGTGGATGTACATTATTATATCCACATACGTTCGCTATGCCAGTCCCAGGATTCCTCCCTTTCCCCACACATTGGGCACCTTTCCCCACACATGGGGGGGATATCCCTTACTGCTCTTATGATATCATCCCCTCTCCTGCCCTCTAACAGCTTTTTGGACAAGTCCATGTTTGCTGCGTCTGATTCTGAACAGGACAGGCGATGAGCTCAGGGTGCAGCTTTACCTGGGGCAGGAAAGGGAAGGAAAAGGAGGGGGGCTTCTCTGTCCAGCAGTGATAAAGTGACTTGTGCTTTCTCTTCTAGCTTTGGCTGAAATTTAGTAATGGGATCAAAGCTATTCATAGTACAAATGTAGAAGCTTCATTTCCTTAGAAAACAGAGTTCAAGAGGACCTAGTTTGAAAGAAAAAGAGTACTTCAATGAAACCTTTTTTTTCAGTCATTGAGTATCTCATATTACATGTTGCACTCTTTTAAACATTAATATTAATAATCTTGGAGAGGATATGAAGGTACTTTTTGAGGGAGTCTTTGTGTAGCTCAAGCAAAATTTGGCTTGGTTTTGAATTTGCTCTTCCAGAGCAGCTCTTGGTATTTTTAGTTCACAGGTGTAAGGAATAAGAATGACTTTGACCTGGAATCAAGTCAGTTCAATGTTAAGTAAGAAGCTAATTTCTTTACTTCCCTTTCCACAGACAGAAGATGATACAAGCTGTAAACTAATGCAGTTTTGCACCAGACAGGACAGAAAGCAGAGACAACTGAAAGTGACACCAAAGAAAATCAAGTAGAAAATAAGGCCTGTTTTGTTACTCTGAAGTTGAATATTTGACTCTGGAAAGGACTTAATGAACCATAAAGTCCTGTATCCTGGTGACACTGGCAGTCACTTTGTACAGTTTTTTCATAAATATATAGTATTTAAATTTTAGGCATTTTACCCTAGATAGCCTTACTGGAAAGCTTTTTAGAAATTCTCTATTTTGAGACTACAGAACCTTGTGATTTCTACTCCAGCTGCTTTCACGCTTCATCTTTAACCAACATAATGGGGTCTGCATTTATGAGGAGTGGATAAAGCATGGACAAGAGAATGGACTAAATTGTGATGTGGCTTGCGAGACAAAGGAGGTGTAGGGATGAAATAAGGAGTGAATGGTTTTCTGCCAGTTTAGTGAACTAAGCTGAGTTACTAATACGCACGGTAACTGCCAGGGCTGCTTCAAAGAGAGGGGCTCAGGGGTGGTGGGATTCTCCCACAGGTGGGCTCAGCCAACACTAGAAACCTCTGGTGTACGTGATGGCCTAGAACTTGTAAGCTGCTACAGGCAGAGTGAGTTTTGGAGTGCTGTTGGAAACAGTAGCATTTATATCAATAGAGTGAGAAGGATTAGCAAGTGAGCAGAGATTGCTTCAGAGGGAAAAAAATACTTCTTGGGCATAACTTGATTGGTGCAGTTGTTGGGTTTTCTGATGAAGTAACAAGAGTGATATAAGCCTGGATGGAGGGGAGAGGCTTTGACAGGTATTTTTGTAAAATGATACAAGCATAGCAGTAAGGCCTTAAGAACACTGAGGTAATAGACTAATGTTTCTAAACATAGTAAATATTGCATGTAGAAACCATCTACTTAAATGTAACAAAAAGACATTTATGATTGTTTGAATGTTGTATTCATTTTTAAAAGAAAAAGCTGTTTGGCTCTGTACTGTGGTGTAATACCATCTAACTTTCTCATGCTTTTGTCTGTTTTATCTCCAGGAGATGCTCTAGTTGCTGTAAATGATGTTGATGTGAATTCTGAAAACATAGAAAGGGTTTTGTCTTGTATTCCAGGTCCGATGCAGGTACAGTAGTTGAACAATTATTCCAAATGTCCTCTGTAAAAATTAATATTGTTTCTAGCTTTTTTTTTCCTCAGGAAGCAGAACTTAGGCAATCTTTTTCTTAGAACTTCTCCATCTAATTTTTGAACACGTTGGTTGACTTCAGTTAAATTAGAGCACAAATTTCAGAGTCTAATTCTGGTAAGTTTTGTGAAAATAGGTAGGTGCAAGTAAGTGACTTAAGCCAGTGTCCTATTAAGGGACATTAGGCACAGTCCAGCTGTTAGATAGTCTGTTTGTCATCAGAGTCAGAAAGCATATGCAACATTGTGCAATTTCTAGGTTTAGACTAACCATAACACCTGATTTTTTTTTTCCCCAGTGTGAGACTCCAGGTATTCTATGCTTGCAAAAGTCTGAGTATTCATGTTTCTCTAGGAGAACTAGTACATATGTGAAAAAACAAGTTTTATGACTTTTCCTGCTCCAAAACCAACTTCATTATTGTGTTACCACTTGCATCAAAGTTAGTTACTACTTGTTGAATACAGGGAACTAAGTCCTTTGAGACCTGCACAAACTTTTAACCAGTGATAGTTGTAGTTATGGGCAAAGATGGCAAGTATGGTTGTTTTGAGAGTTGTTATTTTGAACACTCTGATCTCAGCAAATGAAGGACAAGGTACGTAATGTTGTGATGCCTTGCTCCTGGTGGGTAATAGGGAGGTGTGCAATCTGGCAGTAGTATGCATGAAGCAAGATACTGAGGTCTAGCTTAAAAATAAATGTCAACCGCAGAATAGTAGTGGCTATTTGGGAGGCAACGTGGTCTAGTGGAAGGTGTCCCTGCCCGCAGCAGGGGGGTTGGAACGAGATGATCTTTAAGGTCCCTTCCAGCCCAAACCATTCTGTGATTTTTATGAACTAGTAAAGAATTAGATAGCTATTTCAGAATTAAACCAGGAGAATGTTAATTACCTAGGATGTTAGTAGTGTAAAATTAAGTATTTTGAGTTATTCTGCTTAAATCCACTTTCTGGTGGACAGGAAGACAAGGTAAAAGTTGCAACTTATAGATATGAGGTGGAGCAGGTCAAAATTATAGTCTCTCTTACAGTATGTCTGTAACCTCTTGATAGTTTTTCTTCAGGTACAATATACGAGGTAATAATAATAGAAATATTTTACTGTCCAGAGATGAAAAAGAAGTGGAAATTTTAGGTTTTGTTAAATATGCTTCTGTTTGCAACTCACATAGTCTAAGTGCCTGTAGAACTACATCTGCAACTGCAATAAGACTGAGTACTAGTATGTCAGTTTGGGGAGCTTTCCAAGATACTCGACAGTATGAAGCTTGTCTAAGCTACCAGAGTTGTGGTCAGGTATTGGCAGAGCTCCACGGGAGAAAAACCTTGTCTTGCCTGTCTTTGACCAAATATGGAGTTGCTGTAACTGTTATTAAATATAGAATGATTAAAAAAGCAGAGATTATATAGTTTATTTAATTGTATCCTTGCTAGATTAGAGTATATATATTACTTGTTGCTAAAATGCAACACAAACCTTTATATAGTAGTTACTTTTAATGCAATGTTAATGTTTACATTGTCAGTAAATCTGTCAAGCAGACAGTCATTACTTGAAATGTGTAACTGTTTGTCATGTTGGCTTTCCAAACCCTTTTATTAAAGTGCAATTATTCCTTTTTTACTGTGCAGTTTGAGTCAAGCCAGAAGAGTGATTGCTGAAATAGACCTGTGGAGAATTTAAATACAGAATTCTGGGGTTTTTTGTAGTGTAGAACACTGTGTTCATGCTGCTGAAGAAACAGAGGGTTGTTGTTACTCAGATTTAGTAATAAAGACAGCTATTACACAAGCAAAATTGTTAATCTATTCTTATTCATCATACATTGCAAAACATTGAAAAAGATGCAGTTTAAAGCTGTTTTACTGTAGTTGCAAGTTATTTATGTAAGTGAAGTCACTGCTTTTCTGGGTTTAGTGTTAAAAATTACTGGAAGTAATTTCAAAAACTAATTACCTAGATTATCTCAGTTGCAGCATGTGGCATAACATCTCTTGTTATTATATTTCCTGAATTTTGTTTTCTTTACCTCAGTTTAGGCAAACTAGCTTCTAGGCACGTAGGGGCTAGTTTAGCACATTTATTGAGCAACGAAAGTCCGATTTTTTTTTTAATGGCAGAACTGTTTCTCTTTGGGTGCTTGCACGTCACCTAGTAAGATATTAAGTCCTAATTCTGATTAAAGCATTGGACATGTCATTTAGAAGTTCTGCAGCAGTCGCTGAATGTGACAGGACAAAGCATACTCCTCAATCAACGCTTGAGATAGTATGATAAAGTTGTGTTCTGCAGTCTATACAATTTTACATTTCTGTAATCGAAATAGCTTCCTATCACCACAAGACAGAGAAGACAGAATAGGAAGGGGAAGATATGCTAAAAGAATACCCTTTTCCTTACCCTGATACTGAACCACTTTACCTGAAACCCAAAATATTTTCTAAAACTATTTGGCCTGAGGCAGACACTAAGAATCGGAAATTTCAGCCTGAAATTTTTGAGTTACACTTGTGCAAACCATAAGCTCATGGAAAACCAAGACTTACAACAGGAAATGGTAGGCAATCTTAAAAGGCAGGCAATGCCACCAGCTCTATCTATAATAAAATCCACATTCTAAGACATACAGCTTTCCTGCAGATCAACAGAAAGCATGCTTTTCTGGGTCAGACCAACAGTATAACAGCTACATTTTCTGTTTCTTACACTGACAAATGTTTAAAGAGTATTAAGAAACAAATTAAATAGAGAGTCACCTTCCCATCATGCTGTTCTAGCTTCCAGCAGTCAATAGTTAGGGACTTGTTGGATCACTTACAGGTTTGTAACTCCTTTTTTAATCTACTTCTTAAAATTACTTTGACATCCACAGCATCCTGTAGCAGTGATTTACATAACTGATATGTGTGTTACATTCATTTTTGTTGGTTTTCAAACTGCCATCTAATTAGCTGCATTTCCTCTGTTAAGAGGAGTAATTAGCTGTTTATGACTTATTCTTCATATCATTGCATGACTTTGGAGAGCTCACTCATGTTCCACTTGTTACATCTTTCCTAAGCGGGAAAATCCCCATCTCTGTACCTCATAGTTTGCTGTCACTGTCACCTTCATCAGTGCCTTTTTGCAGTTTGATTACATTTTGAGAACTGTCTAAGTATTGCGAATGTGTGCATGCTGTATATTTAGAGTGGAATACTAATATTTTCCATGTTTTTCCTAGTCTTCATTTCACTTCCTTTTCTTTTTTCTGCTGTGCACTGAACTGATTTTCTTTAGGAAAAATGAAATCAAAGTTGTGAAAGATGTCATAGTCAGTATTTACAAAAGGGTACTTCAGCGGTCACGTTTAATCAGATTCTGTGCACTGCTTAGGATGAAGATTCATTTCCCCTCCACAAAAAAAAAAAAAAAAAATTTAGGGTGTGTAAAACTGTAGTCTCTTGGTCATTTTCTATTACAGCATTTTCCAGCCTAGAGGGTCTTTTTTCGCAGTAGTTTTTTTTAAAGGCAGGAAATAGATTAGAACTTGGACAGAAGTAGAGAGGAACAGAAAATGTTATGTTTCAAGCTGTTAGATAAAATCAAGAAAATTTGGAAAGGAACTTGTAGTTAAATTGTGCAGAGAAACTTTTCTCAAAATACAGTGACCTCACATCTGAGCGGTGTGGTATCGCCCACAGTGATGTGGGAGGCAGCATGGACGCCTACAGGAGGAGGGAGAGTTCAAGTTCTGTTTGGCTGTATGGTTGTGTCTCAAAGACAAGACAAACTGAGTTGTTTTGTTTTCAATTGAGCCTAAAACATAGACTGCAGCAAGAATTACCTTTCTGTGTCATTTGTGTAGAGTCTGTAGCCTGAGTGTCATGAATAAGCGTCCACAGACAAGATGTAGTAGAAATTAAGAGGAAAAAACTATTGAGCCTTCAGGAAATCTGCAAGAAGTTAAACAGAGCACGAGGAAAATCCTCTGAAATACTTGCAGATGGCATGACAAAGAAAGAGAACTGAGTCACAGAATGCTGGAGAAGAAAGCTGCTGCTGCTTAGCTGGATGTTTCTGCTCCTCGAGTCCTGTTAATATGCAGTGTAGTGAATTGAACTGAAATGATGAGGAGAGAGCAAGGGATGAGTTATGGTCATAAGACAAAGTGGTAGCACGTGGCAGGACAGCAAGATTGAGTGCAATGCTGTTCCAGAGAATTGGAAGAGAAAAGAGAAAAAAAGCTGGTAACAGCCAAAACAGGGAAGAAAAGCTTAATGAGAAGTGTTGGGAGGGAGTAGAGTGGAATAGGAAGGTGGCAGCCAGTGGCATAAATGTCATAGCTGGAAGAGCCAATGATAGCACTTCTCTCTGATCTAGTTTGACAGGCAGTGGGTGTTTTAAAGCATCATTACTTTTTGCTGGCATTCCTCTCTTTATGTGTATATACATACACAATTACGAAAATGTAAATTATCCATATTTAAACATATAATTACTTCTGCTTGGGCTTTTCAATTTATTGCAACTGGCAAAATAGAAACCTTTTTTGTTGCATCGATCATTAGACTGAACTGTCACTGACTTTAAAGAGAAGCAGAATTTGGTGTGACGTATTATGTTTAGAACTTCCCAGTCAACAGGCGTGTTAAGGGTACTTTAAGGCAGACAAACAATCTTGAGTAAAAACATATGAAAGAGGGAATTGAGAACGTGCCTACTTAGTCCAAATAGGTATATTTTCAGTCATTTTGAACTATGATGAAAACTAAGGTATCATCCAAGAAAATAAATCAATTTATTCTCCTTGTCAATTACAATTTTATGCACAGTTAAAAGCTACACGTTTCTCACACATCCTTCTTTCATATTTAAGATGAAGTGTTCATTCACAAAAAAAAATACTATTTTTTCATTTCATCACTGCTGGAACAACTAACAAACATAATTTTTGTAAGGCAGTGCTCATAAAAAGGAGGTCTGTAAAGCAAATTGTGAAACCTATTTCCACACCAAGTTGGATTTTGTGTTGCTTGTGAGCCTAGAAGTAGGCATTTATTCTAAAATTCCTGGGTTTTACTTTATTTGGGAAATAAAGAACAGTAAACATCTTGTCATTTTTTGACAAAGTAAGCTTGATCATGTAAACTTTTAAGTTATTTTTTGAGAGAATGCTGTTTGTGCTTTGATATTTTTTTGCTGCGTGATGTCTTCAGAAGAAGTGATATAAAAAACTTTTGTGCTTCTTGCTAGTTGTTGCCGAATTTAACAATTGTACACGGAAGTTTTATTTGCTGACTTTACAGTTAAAAAAAGAGGCAAATTTAACATAGTGAAAATGTTGGCAGATTGAAAGAATTGCTACTGTTACAAATTAATAGACTTTTGCAGTCTAATGTAAATTTATTTTTCTGTGCAAATGTACCTGTTGATGCACTCAAAATAGCAAAGATGCTGATGAAAGAGCCTTGAGGATATATACTTATGAAAGTGCTGACATTTTGAAAGAAGTCAAATATTGTGTGTGTTTGAAAAGCATGGTAATAGGTTTTGTGTTCAAACAAACCCAGAGCAGTAAGTATGTTTTTCCATTCTCAAAACCATAAGAATTAAGTATGAAAATACACCAAACCACATGCTTACTCACATGGTTCATAGAGCATGTAATAGCTGGCTTTGTCCTTAATAATAGATGGTTCTGTAATGCTGAATATAAAATTGGTTTTTT